ATTATTATTTCAATTAATATTTTCAATATATTTTTATTATTTTAATTATTATTTACAATATATCTTTTTTTTTAAATATATTTAACATTTGTTGAAGTTTGTTTATAAATTATAAACAGTTTAAATTTGCATTAAATGAAATGAAATGAAAAGAAAATATATTTTTGAAATAAATAAATAAAAATGAATATGAATGACACAAAATTTTAAGAATAAACTTTTTTTTTAAAATAATATTAAAATAATAATATTTCAAATAAATATTTTATACTAACTTATAAAAATACTGTTTTGAAATGAGTATTTTATTGAAATATAAAAAAATAATATTTCAATAGATTTTTAATTTCAATTTCATTTTATAGTATGATATAACATGTTGAAGTTACTTTTATTGTATATATTAAAACTTATAAAAAACTTAATTTTTCGTCAAATTTATATTAATATTTATAATAATATTTGTTCATAATTTAATTATTAAACAAAATAATATTTTTCAAAATAATAATTTAATTTAAATAAAATGATATTTTTAAACAGTATTTGTTTATAAAAAATATTTCAATTTTCAATATTTTCTCTCAAACCATTTCAAATTTTTCCAAATTTTTCTGATAAATATTGAAACTTATCTATTAAATTATGAAAAATTTAAATTCGTCTTAGAAGTGACACGAAGATAGAGCGAGACGGTTCTATTTCTTCTTGCTTCGTCTAACGCGAGCTTGAACTTGTTACTTACAACTTGATAAGTAATCCTTAATCGATCTTTTTGTACAGCAATTTTTGCATTTTGTTTTGATAATCGATAATCTATTCTGAATATATTAACACCCTGTATATCGTATTCGTATCCCTTTACACACGAGGTGTCCTCGGTCGTAGTTCGCGCCATAACGCTCAGGGTAATTTACCTTGCATATTTATACGCACGTCTCATCGAGAAAAGTGCCTCCGTTAAATGCTCCTCTTCTTCTCTCTTTTCGTTTCTGTTCTTTCCTCCTCTATTCTTCTCTATTCTCTTTCCAGACCGTTTTCTCTCTCTTTTAGCTCGGGGTTAACCGCGTTTAATAGATTCTCGCTACCTTCGATATTTCTAGCGTGCATTTCAAGAATGATGAATAGGAAATTCTCTTTGACTTCTAATAGCAAACAAAGTTGTCTTCTATAGTATTAACTGAGATATTAAAATTATTGAATTTGAATCGGAAAATTCAGTTTTGAGTTTTAATATTTTTGTTAATTTTATAATATTCTCAGTGAATAACGTTTATTATAAAAAAATAATTTTGAATGAAAAAATTTGGATTAGATTTTAAATTAGAAATTATTATTTTTAATTTGCTCATTTTGAAATGCCGATAAATTTATAAATATATTTATATATTTATATATAAATATGTTAAATTTATAATATAAATATAATTAATATTAAAACTATAATTTATATTTCTATTTCTATTTTATTTCTATTTTATTTCTATATTTTTTTATATTTATATAATATATTAAAATATACATATATTATTAAATATATTTACATATAGTGTAATACTTATATGTATATTTATATTCCTATTGAATCAAATAATTAATTCTTAAGTAAAAAATTAACTTTTAATAAAACGAAAGATTTTTTTTAATAAAATATAGATGGTAATTAACATAATGAGGCTAATATAAAAAATGTATACTTTTATAAATATATACTATACTTTTCATTTAAATTGCTGTAAGAATAGAAAAAAATCATTAAAAAAAATTATATTTGAAAACTGATTTGTATATTTGATAACTGATCAATAATAGAAAAATAAAAATATTATAATTGATATAAATAATATAAATAATATGTATATGTGTATAGTA